TTATGATGAACGTCCGTGGATTAAGAGTCGATTTAGTAACGATATTTTATAAATTAGAAATCAAACAGAGAAATTATGTAAATATACATATATACATCGTCTCTTTAATGTAAAGTATGTGCATGCAAGTTGCGCTAAATGTATATATACATATATATATATATGTATAAATATATACATACATATATATATACATAGTATAACACAGATGCTTTTTAATTTACATTATTTCTTAATGTAGATACTAAAAATAAATTGATAATTTCCTACGAATTATACTTGATATATTATTCTAATAAATACTAAAATATTTTCTTAACGGTACGCTTATATTCTTTCCGATAACATAAATTAAAAGCATTTATGCGTTTCTCCTTTTACTTGTTTTTACTTCGCTAAAAGTTGAACATCTTGTATCATACATTAATTACAAACGGATTCACTCGATAAGCCTGCTATAAAATCTCTTCTATCCGCGTACTAACAGTTCACAAGCTATTAGTATGCGGATAAAGAATTATTAAAATCTCGATCTACCAGTTGCACCGTTAAAACTAAGTATAAAAATAATTGTAATATACAAAATGGTAAGACACAAACATGACAAACTTCATGTCGCTTACAGCTTCAACGATCACGGGGTATGTTCAAACGATATACACATAATTCACGAGAATGTTGATCGCAATAGTGCAACTTATGTTTTCGTTTATATTTCGACTTGAGTCAGACTGAGGTAATAGAAACTTAATGTCGGTCGATGAATTTCAATGTTCGATGGTGTGTTTACAATTATATTACGTAGAAAAAAATGCGTCAAGTACTTCTTCGAGCGGGAGCGGTCGTCCCTGATGGTCTATCGGTGGATCTTCTGCTTGGATGTGTTCGAACCTCAGTATCCTCCAGTTAATTAACGTAGTTTCGTATTCCATTTTTTTATCGTCCTCGTGCATTTGAGTGTACAGATGTATAAGTCCCCGATAGTCGTATTCCAATCCACTATAGCTTTCTCCGAACAATTTTAAATCTAACAATGCAAACACATTAGATGGAAGAACAACGATTAAATTGAAAATTGATCACTGCTTACTAATTGCAATACTGCGGTGATACAGCCGTTCAGCATCCTCGTATCGCTTCATGTCGAAATTGTACAAGGAAGCTAAGTGTCCTATACTCAATCCAACTTCGAAATCATCGGGTCCTAGTAATTCTTCTTTAATGCGTATAGCTTTGGTATGCATCGCTGCCGCCTCCTAAAATAGATAACTGATATGCAATTATTAAATGATATATTTACTTGACACGGTTCATTGTGCCACACGTACCTGAAATTTCCCCATGCTCTGATAAAGTCGCCCTAAATTCCCGTAGTGCTTCGCAATCTGTACGTTGCTCTCGCCAAATGCTTTCCTTGATAAGTTCAAAGCAGATCGGTGAAGATTCGCAGCCGCGATTAATAATGACGTCCTCATTAGTGCTGTGTCGTTTATTGCTATTTCTTCAAGTATCAATGCGTGGACCCTTCTTGTACTGGCTAACAATAAATGGTCTCCGGGTAACAGCGATTCCATAGTGTCCCTCGCCTTCAGAACACATTCTCTGCTTGTAGAATACGGACTAAGACACTGTGATCTACTCAATACTTAAGTGTATTGTCTTACATATGCGACGGGTTCACGTAAAATGCTAACCTTGCCACTTCGAAACTGCCAGAGGTATACTCATGCACGTACAGAGCATACGCAAAGTTCTCCAAAGCCAGTGCAACGTTTAAATTAAATTCTGAAAACACCGACTTCCTTAGAGACAACGCTTCCTGAAAGAAAATATTTCAATTGAAACGAGTAAGAAATGTGACTTTACAATGGAACTAATCGCATTGAGTAGTTGTAATGCTAACCTCATAAACATTTACACTGTGAAATAAACTATCGAAATTTAACAAGTAATATCCATAATCTATAAGAACGTTAGTGTACACAGGATGATTTTTCTCAAATTCTTGTCTAGCAAGGTACAGAGCTTGTCTGATCAATAGACCGGCTTTCTGCAATTTTCGTTTCAATACACACGACTTTGCTGCCTGTCTCAGAACGTCGATAGTAATGCGGGCAGGCAGTGTGGGCTTTAATTGTTTTAATGCTTTTATACTCCACCTAAATAATTACAGAAATATGACAAATAGAACTTACACATGATTAGTTTAATGAATATAGATGCAACAATTACCTGTAGGTCTCATCATATTCATTTCTCATATAGTGTAACATACTAAATTCGCTATATAAGGCAGCATAATTGCAGTCAAATTTTGCTTCCTTTAAACGTTTCACTATTACCAAAGCACAATTCTGTGTTTCTTCTGCGCATTTAAACGAGCAATACGCAGCTTGCACATGTAACAATCTTTAGAATCAAATAATTGTGATCAATCGGTATGAAGAATTCATTTATAGATTAAATTTAACTGAAGTTAGAATATGATATTTTGTTTACCTATGGTAACACTCTAATATTCTACACCAATGTTGAGGTGTAGAACTACTTAATAAACATAATCGAAGACATTTTAATAAAATATTTTCACTTTGAGGATACCAGCCAGCATCGCTTAAAAATCCGCCCAATATCAGACCTGCGTTTATCAATCTTTCTCGAGCTGCTAGATTTACATTAACACAGCTGCAAGGCGAATACTGGATAATTAATTCATCCTTGAATCTTGGTACACTCTGAGCACAGTCCTTAAAAGATCATTCAAATTAGATTATAAAATAACATTAAAATCTTACTTTTCTTTGCATCAATTTACCTCAAAACATTTGAACAAATCGACGCGTCGACTAGTAACTGCTAACATCTTAGAAAACACCTCGAACCTGCATAATTCTGTTAATATGAAGAAAGGATGCGTGCCTGCTTTGTATACCTGTGAAATCAAGGGCAATATCTATAAGTATTATCTTATCATTGCTAACAAAAGACTATATCTTCTTTCATTGGCTATAATAGAAACGAAACATCTATTTAAAACACATAACAACAAAGGAAACAAATAAATATACAACATATATATATATATTTCTGTGTGATGAAAATAATTGTTTATACTCATACATATATATGTCGTGTGACTCATATATACGTGTACGTACATATATATATGGATATATAAAATATCTACAGTATTTTTGATTACATACATTCAGAGAACCACGCACGAAACACTTTGACATTTACCTGATAATAAACATCGAACATAACTTCTTTCGGCAAATAAATTAGATAATCCAAGTACGGAATAAAGTCTCCGCCAGTTGACGCAACTATTCTGGCGACGCATAATTCATAAAGACTTTTCGGTGAATGCACAAGTGGTTCTACATTCTCTGCCATCTTCCTTAGAGTCCTTTCTCAATAATTACGAACACCGAACACACAGTTACAACAATCACTGTCGCGTCTTCTCTTTTATGCGCATATGCTGCCACGATCCTCTCTGTCGTCCAACCATTGACAACCCCCACTTTTAGAATATAGAAACATGATAAAACCAACCATCCGGTGCACCGTGCATAAACATTTTCCCTTTATTTCCCTTTCTCTCCTCCTCGTGCCTTTTGTTCGTTTTAACGATTACAACAGGAAAAACGTTCGCTGAGAACGGAGGACGTTACACACCGACAACGAGGCACAACTGTCTAGGGTCTATGAACGTACGGCCCTGAAATATAAATTTTCGATGAAACAAGAAATAAACAATCTACAGCATATCCGTGGAACAGTAAACATTGTCTTGTTATCACATAAACAATCTCTTTTCCTTGATATCAGTGGCGGTCAATGTTTCTTATCATTAATTTTAAATTTTTACTGGCGACTCGCACTCGCATTTTCGTAAGTTACTCGTCGTATCCGATCGATAACGTCGATTCCCTTTTTACCATACACGAAAAATCGCATTCCTAAAACCATCTAGTTTCCACTCGTCGACGTTAGAGGGATACCGAATATTATTCTCACATGCGAGTACAGGAACTGCGTAAATTCAATTTTCCCACAAAATATTTAGATTTATTTAAAAGATCAAATTGTTCTATTATTCCTGGTGCATCGGAGTAACGAGAACACCGTTAAAAATCGATTTCGTTTGATATCGGCGGACAGGCAGTTCCGGCGGCGACAGATTTTCGATTTTGAAAAAAACAGAGAGAACAACGGCATTGTTGCGATCGTAAAAGAAGCTGCCCGATGTCTGGGCCATGTCTTCGTCGGTCCTGAGTTCTTTCTCCTGTGAAACGACGAACGCGAGGAACGGCTGAGGCGATTGATCGTCGCTCGGATACGCTGGCTCGAAACAAAGCGGCTGGGAAACGGTAATCGAGCAAAGAGAAATCGGTGCGTCTCATACCGCATCGATTGCGAAACCGGCGTATAAACTTCTGGTTTCCGCTATGCTAGAAATCGGATGATATATCGTTCAACGGTCGTCAGCGTCGAGGGACAGGATGACCAAAAATTCTCTCGAAATGTTCATTCGGTTTTCGCAACTTCGAGCACTTATGACCCGACAATTTCTAAAACGATATTAACCTCACATCTCGCTTTCAAATTGTACGTCTTATCGACGTAGAAATGCGGGAGTCTGCCGGTAAAGTTGTCTGTTTGCATATTTCATTGAGATTAAATATTTCTACCGAGAGTAAATCATCAGGTATTGATTTCGAAACCGTTCTTGTTTAATATTAGCACTGAGCACTTAAACTGTTTTTTTTAATGTTTTTATCAAAGTTGGAAGCGTGAGTTTATCAAGATCTTTAGACTTCTTAAGAAGTCTAAAAGAATATCGAAAAAATGGAACTGGAACAAGTTATTGAGTTCCTAAATATAATGCCGTAGCTCATAACTTTAAATAACAATATCTAAGATGAATTTCATATGCGTCATGTAAAATATAAGATTGTCAAAAATAAGTGACTAGCGAACGTAATCAGTTTTTAGTCATTTTTCAAAGAGGCATTCGCTTTCTCACTGATCACAAAAGAAAAAATGAAAGAAATTCTAGTGTTAACCTCTTGCCCTATAATTTATTTCTCAACTGATACAA